TCTGATCATGTAATGTCTCTGGCTAGGAGCCTCTGATATTCCTTTTCTCTATGGGATTGCCTTTCATGCCATACTTAAGCAGTGACTTAAAATGAAATCAACTTCTTAAAATGGAATGACATCTGTTACCTTTCTCAAATATTTCCTGCTACTCTCCCCAAAGTAGCACATCCTTTATTGATACCAGACTTACTGTTCCATGGGCATGCCAGTCCCTTTGATGCTTTCTGGTCTCCCTCTGTTCCCTGTTTCAGTATTTGCCCCTTATCATCTAGAAGACTGTTACCTGTTCTTCAAAACCCCTCAAGATACTTTCCCCTACATCAAAATCAGTCATCTGTCTATGTTGTTAAGAGTATCATATTCATAGAATTTTTCATGCTGAATTTACAAATTCTGAATTTCAATGACTTTCCCCAGGGAAAAGGCCTTTCTTTGAATAAAAGTCAATCAAATCTGCTGTGCTGTAGAGAGTATCTGGTACATTGTAGGCCCTCAATATATATCACTGAATACATAAACGGTCACTAAGTGAATCATTCTTACAGTTTACAAGGTGTTTTCACATATTTGTTTTCATCACATTGTCATATAAGCCTAAGATTTTGTTTGGATACCAGGGGCTGTATTGTTATTATTATTAACTGAAACTTATTAAACCTTTCCAACATTTTGCTCAATTGCAGTGCTTTAAAAATAGCCACCAATTATTTTTAAAATAAAGGCAAAAGTGAGCACACGGCTCCTGTGTTAAGAACAAGGTAATTATATAGCTCATGATAATTACCTGTGGGCATTGGTAAATACCTGTGGGTATTGGTAAATATGTTGCAGCTTGATAATTGTACTTCATTGCAGGATCAGATTAGAGTGTTCCTTAAGTTTATCACAGAAGCTGCTGTTTAAAGAGTCAGGCTAAAACCTGGAATGAGAGGAACTCTTGGGAAGTATAGCAGCATTTCCAAGTCTTTGTAATTTCCATCTATTTCTTTTATGTGGCAGTAACAATCAATTCAGTTAAATAATTTAAAATCAACAGATTCTATTATTTCCCTGAATTCCTGGAAAACAGTTGAGCCAAAGTAATGAAGGAAGATAGTTGATTTGAAACCTGGACCACTGTTTAACAATGAATTAGAACTCATTAGTGGCACATGAAATCAATTTTGTGTGTCACCCTCCTCCCCAGCAATTTTTAAAAAGTGGAATAGAATACAATAAAAAAACACTAGAGTATGCTGCTCCATGGAAGGGTATATTGTTCTGTGAAATCTGTTTCAGTTGTATGTATGTGTGTTTACTGGTTTGTAACGTAAAAAATATTTCCCAATGAAAGTGAAAGCCGCTCAATCGTGTCCAACTCTTTGCAACCCCGTGGACTTTACAGTCCATGGAGTTCTGTAGACCGGAATACTGGAGCGGGTAGCCTTTCCCTTATCCAGGGGCTCTTCCCAAGCCAGAGACTGAAGCCAGGTCTCCCACATTGCAGGAAGATTCCTTACCAGCTGAGCCATAAGGGAAACCCCAAAATACTGGAGTGGGTAGCCTATCCCTTCTCTAGTGGATCTTCCCGATCCAGGAATTGAACTGGGGTCTCCTGCATCGCAGGTGATTCTTTGAGTTATGAGGGAAGCCCTGTATTTCCCAGTATGGGATATATTTCCCTCTGTGGTATACATTTCCCACTGGTTTGAGTCAAAAAAGTTTTAAAGTCACCACCCTTTGGACACAGTAATATTGTTCAAGGAGTGGGATCAATTCCATGTAGCCACTTAATAATATTGGTTTAATAACTTGATAACATTGAATTATGTACCACTTGGGACAAAACACCCCAATTACATAATTAAAATCCCAAGAGCATAATCAACACCTGATTCATTCACCAGACTTGGCTTCAAACATATTATTAGTTCAAAACATCAAACCCATCTCAAAGGGATGAACACTCACTACTACAGAAACTGCACAAGAATTTGTCATAAATTCTGAAGTCAATACCAAAAAAGCAATTAGAAAAATATTTTCAGCCAAGGCAAAAAACTCTAAAATTAGACCCAGATAACTATTCTCCAGGGCAGCTCCTGATGTTTCTGCTTGCATATTTATCATATTTAATTCTTGTATAATTTTTTTCTCAAGACTGAGTCCTTATCATATAGAAACTTTTATTATTTCTGTATTCTTAATGCCTTTGTATATATTTCCTAGTACGGAAGAGACATTTTTAAATGTTTGTCAAGAAAACAGTACTCATTTAGATAAATATATGTTCTCAAACTTAATGACTGACTCAAGGTCTGAGTGAATGTTAAGCCTATTCATGTTTCTTGCTCACTTTAAAGAATATACATCTTAAAGTCTCTCAGCTCTTTGGAACAGCACTTAATTGTTGCTTACAACTCATAACTTTTAATCGAAGAAATAAAATTTAGAAATTCCCTGGAGTCCAGTGGTTAGGACTTCTCACTGTCACTGCCAAAGGCCTGGGTTCAACAATCCCTGGTTGGGGAACTAAGATCCCACAAGCAATAAAATTTAAAACCAAAATGAGACATTATTTTGATACCAAACCATCACGGATGCAAGCAGGAAAATGAGCATCTCTACAGTGTTTGTGATGTGGGGAAAACGGAGAAAGGTAGTTTGGAAATACATATCAAAAATCTTCATATATCCTTATTTTATAAGTGAAGATATATTGCTTCTAGTTCTTTATGGAAAAATCATAAATCTGCAAATACGGACACAGGATATTAATCTCAGTGTGGTGTACAGTAAAGATGTCTAATACTAGGCAATTAGTGATGTAATTACGGTAATTATCACAAAAAAATAATCTGCAGCCATGAAAAATAATGATGTTCAATTACACTGGCATAGAAAGAGGCTCTGAAAGTATACTATAAAAAGCAGATAACAAAGGTGTAAACTCTAGACTATCATTTACATTTTTTATCAGATAAACTCATTAACCATTTTACAGTGAACTATTCAGTGTTTACTTAGTACTTTCACAATATTGGACAACTGTTGCCTCTGTCCAAATCCAAAACATTTTCATCACCCCAAAAGGAAACCTTTTTTAAGCAGTTGCTTTCCATTCCCTGTTCCCTCAACCCCTGGTAACTACCTGCTTCAGTTCTGTCTCTATGGATTTACTTATGGGAATATTTCATGTAATTGTGATTGCGTAACGTGACCTTTCTTGTCTGGTTTCTTTCATTTAGCATAATGCTTTGGATGTTTACCCACCTTGTAGCAGTACTTGACTTTTTTATATAGCTGAGTAATATTCCACTGTGCACATATGCTGGAGAAGGAAATGGCAACCCGCTCCCGTGTTCTTGCCTGGAGAATCCCAGGACAGAGGAGTCTGGTGGGCTGCCGTCTATGGGGTCGCACAGTCAGACACGACTGAAGCGACTTAGCAGCAGCAGCAGCAGTGAACGTATGCTATAGTTTATTCATTAGCAGACCTTATAGGTGGTGCCTACCTTTTGGCTATTGACAATAGTGCTACTATGAACGTGGGTGTAGTGCGGAATCATAAAGATACAAGTATTTGTTGGCAGAGAATAAATGCAGGAATGTTAGCAATCATTATTTTGTGATGGAGATATGACAGCTGAGTCTTTTTATGTTATTAAGAGCGTTGGGCTTTAGAATTAAGCAACCTGCCTGTTTCTTCACGTGTAAAGTGAGGAAAAGAAAACTTGCCTAATTGAATTATTGTGAAGAGGAAATGAAACATTTGTACTTAGACGTATGTGGGGACACAAGATAAGTACTGAACACAGAATTTTTTAAAAAATCTTTTTTGTTTTCACTTTTTGGTGACATTTACTGAAAATATTTCACCCCAACGCAATAACATTAATGCTATTAAACAGGCTTTGTTGTCGTTTGAGAGTGTATTTGTATGCCATTAACTTGAAATGCATGTTTCTCTTTGCTCACAGTTATTTGGGCTGGTGCCAGTCAGAGGCTCCCCAGTTGTTTGATGTGATGACATCATTTTGACTTAGTTCTAAAATGTTACTCTCCCTCCAAGTTTCAATTAAAATAATGTTCCAAGTAGCGTCTTCTCCAGCCCTCTGCCATAGATGGTCTTCCATTTGTCTTTGTTTTGGCACCCCTTTATGCACTGCATATACAACCATCCAGGTTTTACATTTTAGGAAATGTACAACAGAAACGTAGGGACGGGTCAAGGGCACAGGCTTTCTCATAGATACAGCCAGGAAAATACTTTGCGATCAGATTTTTCCAAATATACAAAATTGCCTCGGAACATCTTTCTTTGTACTCCCTAGAAAACCTTACATTTTATTTTTCACTGCGAACTCTTCATTTCTTTGCCAAAAGTGCACACGTTGAGCACGGCGGAAGGGTCGCCGTCCGGGGTGGGGATGGGCCTCCCCAGGTTTGCAGGCGTGAATGGGCCTCCCCGGGTTTGCAGGCGTGAAGGCGCGTCTTGAGCGCCGGAGCTATCCCAGCGCGGGAGTTTCGAGGGGAGCTCGGGGACAGTTACGGCGTCACGCGGGAAGGCCGCGCGGGGACAGGCGCTTGGGGCTCGAGTGTCCCGGGGGAAGCCGGTGCCAAAGAGCCGCATACCTAGTGTCCCAGCCTGGGAGTTCCCTAGGGCTTTGCGGGGAGAGGAGCGCGCCCGCCCGCGCCCGCACAGGTGTCCCGGGGGCTGCGCCGAGGCCCTCGCAGGCGGGCGGGAGGGGCGGGCGCTCCAGTGCTCCGGGGCCCGCGGCCCGAGGGGAGGTTCCCGTGAGGTGGTTCTGGGCTCCTCCTCGGCGCTCAGGTTTCCTCTTCCCGCCCGCCGGCTGCCGGCTGCGGCGCCGCCTCCGTCCCCCTTCTCCCTCCCTCCCCGCGGCTCGGCCCGCTCTGCGGCCTCGGCCCGCCTCGCCCCCGCCCGGGCCTCCTCCCGCTCGCTCTCTCCCTTCCCCTCGAGCCTCCGAGGAGCCCGCAGCCGCGGGGCGCCCGGGAAGATGGCGGCGGCGGGAGACGGCGGCGGCGAAGGGGGCGCGGAGAGCCCCTTCGCCGAGGCGCGCGCCGACGCCCGGGGCCCCGTACCCGCGGCGCTGCACCCGGAGGAGGTCACCGCGCGGCTGCAGCGGATGCGCCGGGAGCTTAGCAACCGCAGAAAAATTCTGGTGAAGAACCTGCCCCAGGACAGCAGCTGCCAGGTACGGGGACGGGCTGCGAGGCGACGTGTCCCCGGGGGCTCGGGCGCAGCAGCTGCCCCTTAGGTGTCCAGGCTGGTGCCCGGCGTCTGCGAGCGGTCCGGGGGAGGAGGGGTCGTGCAGTTACGAGCACCGTCCGTGGCTTTTGCAGAGCCCCCCGGTTTCTGCGCCCGCGGTCGCCCCGCGAGGGAGGAACGTTAAGAAACTGAGGCTCGGAGAGGCGAAGGGGCTTCTCCAAGGTCACGGGAACCCGGAGCGCTGTCTCTAAGTCCGGCCGGTTCCAGGATCGTGTGTCGTGGGAGGGGTTTGGGGGAGTAGGTGAAGGAGAGTGGCGGTGGGCTGCGGAGCAGAGTTTGGGTTGGGAGGGGGCGGAAACCAAGGCTTTGGGAGCCCCTTGAGACGGGCGCGGGGTCCCGCAGGGTCCTCGGGACCTGGGCGTGCCGTGGGGGGCGGGGTCACGGGAGAGCCAGGAGGGAGTTTTGCTGCTCTTTGGAGCACTTGCCCGAGTTTGTATGAAACAACTCTGTCCCCTCGGTCTGCTAGGACCCTGGTTATAGAGGTTATCGCAGCGCTCCGGGGAGCCTTGCTGCCGTCTTACTGACTCCGAGAAGGCTTCAAGATAGGTTTCTCTGCGTCTTTGAACCAAATTAACTGTTGCTTTAAGCTCTGCATCTAATTGACTTTACCAACACCACCCCCGCCCCTGCCTCCTGGATTGCCAAATTAACAGGCTTGTTTGCTCATTGTAAGAAAAGTAGAAAACAGAAGGAATCGCGACGGAGGGTGGGAGTGGGATAGAAATCACCTGTATGTTTGAAACTTAAAGATAACCGCTGTTAACGTGAAATACTATCTATCTTTCCCTGTGTGCATGCATTTTTTTTTTAACCAAAAAAACCCCGACTTTCTTCGACTGCTCAGGGTTTCTTAATTGTCTAGATGTTCACGTATATTTAACATTTAGCTAGAATTTCTGTATTTTGTGGGGATGGGGAGGGTGGGCTGTCCTCGTGGTTGCAGATTTGAGGCAGTTTGTGTGGCTCCCTCCTATATTGGGATGTATGGTATTCCTGGGGGGGCTGCCTATTGATAATTGCAGCGTTCTTCCATTAGATCCGTTAAATAATGAGACCAGTGCCTCGCTGCTTTGTAATTAGATCTTACATAGGCATTCACTATAAATGTGAGCATGTAACCTTGTAACCCATATGCAGGAAGGGCCATTTTGTTTCAAAAAAGCAATGCAAAAAAGTCTCTGTCAGTATCTGTACATCTCATCCCTCTTGCAACTCTTTCCATTATTGTCCACTTCCCCTTAGGCGGGTTATGTTTTGTAATGCTGTAAGGACAACTGCAGTGGACTGATTTCATTGAAGCAGCTTTCCCGTGCCCACGCAAAGACAGGACAGCAAGTGAGCTCAGAAAGGGGGAGACTTGGAAAAGGCAGATGGCATTAAAAAAAAAATCTGAAGGAATAGTTTTATGTGTAGGTAATCTGGAAGAGAGAGGAGTGTCTTGATTTCCTTTGTAGAATGTCAGTTACTTTTGCTATCACATTTCTTTGCATCAATTCTAAAAATATTTGGACCATAAATTTTAGACATTTCTATTTTTCCTTTGCTGTTGGTATCTTTCTCATATCCCGTCTTAAGAGACTTGGAAAAAAATATATCAAAGAGTCCAATAAAAAGAATTGTTAATTACTTGTTAGTGATGGAGAGAGGTTTTATGAAAATCACACTGATTTATATCTTTGAGGTAGTCTCCCTCTGTTATGAATTTATGTGTAATCTCCATTTTAGGATTTTCTATAAGATAGATGGAATTTGAGCAAACTCTGGGAGAAAGTGAGGGACAGGGAAGCCTGGCATGCTGCAGTTCATGGAGATGCAAAGAGTTGGACTTGACTTAGTGACCCAACAACAATGATAAGGTAGTAAGCATAAATTATCAAATGAAATTGGTATAAGATCTGTATATGTAGATGAATCTTTTACTGGCAAGTAAAGTATCTGAAATTTTTATGTTAAATTTTTATGCCAGGTTTTTTGAGAACTGAAGAGTTTCATCTGTGAGCAACAAAACAAACTGTTTTTAGCACCTGGAATACTAGTTTCCAGACTTGTCCTAGTCTTTATTTTTTGTATGATCATTTCTATAATGAAATATTTTAAGTATTTCTGATAATGCAGTTTTAGAATTTAAACAGATCAGTGTTTGATTACAGATAACATTTGTTTGAATAGTGTTTTTTTTTTTCTATTGTCTTCAGTACTTGTACTGTTCCTAGGTTTTCTGATCACAGTCATAACTATCAATGGTCTGTGTTACATAAATTAGTAGAGTAGACCAAATATGCTAATTTTTAAAAGCAATTAAAAGACCCTTTTTTTTAGACAAAGAATTGCTATTTTTACTAGTCCAATAAAATTAACATTTACTTGATCTACTTCTCAAGTTGGAATATTTCCATGAATGTGTTCTGCAAAGATTTTGTTTTATGTTTTATTTCCCATAGCAGTTCTAATTCTGATTTTACCTAGTGGCTTCATTTTACTGTCAACTTATTAGTGAAGGATTAAGTTTAATTTTATTTTGTATTGTTTAGCCAATATCACCTAGATAAACTCCTATTTACTCCTTATGAAATGACTAACATGGTTAAAAAAAGACTACTTTTTGTCCAGCTTCTAAGTAATGAGATGTTTTAAATACCCAAATTCTTGTTCTTTTCTAGGAGAAGCTATGTTTATTCATTCATTTATTTGGTAACATCACATTATGGATCTAAGTCATTCCTAACTCTAGTTCTCAAACTCTAGTCATGTTTCTAGAAACGCTGTGTTGGTGATTGATCAGTAGGAGCCCAGTGATTTCTTCTTAACATTTTGAAAACATGGACGTTTTCTTAATTAAACATAGTTTTCTTAAATCTTACTCATGTTTTGTTCAATTTTTGGTAAAAGAGATTTACAATAGCATCCCACAGCTATACTCTTCCTATGATTAGAAGACATACAATGTTATTTTTAAGTGGGAGCTTTTAAAGGTAAAAATATCAAATACCTTACAGTGGTAGAAATACTTGCTCTAGAAAAATGAACACTTTGAGAACTAATAAGTTCTCAAAAGAATAGTCACCATGCCATCAGTCAGGTGCTGCCTGGTGACCACCGTATGCTTTCTGGAGTCCTCCCAGCCCTCTGTGTTCTCATAGCTTCTACTCTGGTTCATATCCTTTTCATTTCTTGCACAAGTTGTTTCTATTTGTTGCCCACTCTCATTACTGTGCTATCTTTTATGTTTTAGCCCGTCCTGTTATACTTCCCTGAGAGAGCATTCCCAAAGCACAAATATGACCATGTCACTCTCCTATTAAAACAACAACAAATCTTTGACTCCACATTCCCATTCCCAACACTGATTCTCAAATTTTCCTTCAATTCTCCGTTATTTGTCTCTTTTCCTCAAATTATAAGGAACAGTGAACCTGAATTAGCCTACTGCAAGAGCGAAATTCCTTCGAAGCTGCATGTTCTGTCTGAAAAATTCACATTGATTTTATGTTCTAGTAAAGTTGGATTTAATATAAAAACAATGACTTAAACTCAGTTAACTTCCTCCAGATCTTTTTTTCATAAACTTGACACTTAAGGAAGATCCACTGTCTTTATCCTGTGATTTTCCATACTCTGGTATTACCATGGAGTACTCAGACATCACTTGAGAAGCATGACATACTAGGATAGAAATGTAAGGCTCTAGCTTTTTGTGACTTGGCCCCTGCCTACATTTCTAGTCTCATTTTTTATTGGTCCTGCCCTGGATTCAACTCTAATTTTTTTAAAGCTACCTCAATCCCTGAGTACTCCATGCCACTGTGATTTGATATTTATAGTTATGTCTTTGAATGTATGTGTTTTGGAATGTAATTGTAGTGATTGATTTATTATGACTAATATTTACAATAATTACTATCACTATTTATAATTAATAATAACGATGCTGTGAACACTGGTTCTTATTCACTGTAGCCATTGTGTATATGTGCGTGTCTATATGTGTGAATAGTCTTTTGCAACTCTGACTTTAGAATTTTGATTAGTTAAGGTAGTGCCCTAATATGTGGATTTTTAAATGTATTTCTATAAATTGTGTATATTTTATGATTAACCTGATTCTGTTTCAGTAACATTGTTACTAGGACTTCAAAGTGGAGAAACAGTGGTATTTATTTCCTATATCGTTTGAGTTCACTCGGGTTTCTTTCTTACATATCATATGCGTGTATTTTGTCTTTGTTGTATTTATTTTAAAATCTGAAAGACATTGTGTAATCAGAAAATGTGAAGTGCTTGGGCTAATAGTCAGGATTGGTAAATAGAAAAAAAACCACTCTGTTGTCTCACTTTGGGTATTAGTAACTTTCATTTCATGGCAAATAGATGGGGGAAAAAATGGAAACAGTGAGAGACTTTATCTTCTTGGGCTCCAAAATCACTGCAGATAATGACCGCAGCCATGAAATTAAAAGACGTTTGCTTCTTGAATGAAAAGCTGTGACCAACCTAGACACCATATTAAAAAGCGGAGACATTACTTTGTCAACAGAAGTCTATCTAGTCAAAGCTATGGTTTTTCCAGTAGTCATGTATGGATATGAGGTTTGGACCATAAAGAAAGCTGAGCGGCAAAGAATTGATGCTTTTGAATGGTGGTGTTGGAGAAAACCCTTGAGAGTCCCTTGGACTGCAAGGGGATCCAACCAGTCAATCCTAAAGGAAATTAATCCTGAATATTCATTGGAAGGACTGATGTTGAAGCTGAAGCTCCAATACTTTGGCCCCTGATGTGAAGAACTGACTCATTGGAAAAGACCCTGATGTTGGGAAAGATTGAAGGCAGGAGGAGAAGGGGACGACAGAGGATGAGATGATTGGATGGCATCACCGACTCGATAGACATGAGTTTGAGCAAGCTGCGGGAGCTGGTGATGGACAAGG